TCTAGGTTTTGAGGAGTGAACCAGTGACGGGAGCTGGCTGGCTGTCTCTGTCCCCCTGACTCTCTGCTTTTCAAATAAATAAGGTAAATGATTTTTTTCTAAAAGAAGAGTTGAAGTTGGAATCATGAACTTTTCTCTTCTGTGGAATGTTGTTCTAAGCTTGATTATGTTAGTTGCAAATTTAGGTAATTTTGTGTTCTCAAGTATTTCGAGTGTCTTTTCCCAGAATTATGGTGGTTAAAAAGTCCCACTCCATTCATTTTGACTTATTGGAGAAAAAAAGTACTTGATTGTCACAGAAGAAAAGCTTTGCAACACAAAATGTTTTTAGGACTGTGTTCTCTTATTTAAATAATGTAGCGCATTTTTGTACTTTTTGTACTAAGGTTGTCCTTAGAATCCTTTTGCTTTTTCAGCTGGTTAGTAATGGGGCTGTGAAAGCAAAACATACTGGTTAAACCTCAGTGTTGGGTGCATTGCCTCTTAAGTGCTTTGCGTGTGCCTCTCTTGAATAGGACATGAAGGAAATGTCGATCTCTGAGAATCTGTTTAGTGGGCAGTAGTTTCCACCTTTAGGAAGATCTGCATACTGTGCCTCTGCAACAGCCCCGTGAGCTGGTGCTCTCGGGTCTGAGCTCCCCGTCTTCCTTTCCTCTTAAGAGAATGTCAGCAGACTGCCCAGGAGCACATTTTAATCCAGTTTTTCTAGCTGGTGGTTTTTCTCTGTTGAGTACCGTATGCTTTGCGTTGAAGAACACATCCCAGAGTCTGGCAAATGGGCATGTTTTCATATCCTCCTCTCTTGGCCTGTGGAGCACTGGCACTTTATAGAGATGAGATCAACAAGAATCCTTTTCAGTAAAGTGTTTTCAGGTTGTAATCAATGGCTGAGATGACAGCGTGTGAATACATTGTGGTTAACTAAAGATGACTCCTTGGTGTTACGTGAATTGACAAAGGTATAACAGGTCCAACTCAGAATGTGTTCTTTTTTATTTATTTATTTATTTATTTTTATTTTTTGACAGGCAGAGTGGACAGTGAGAGAGAGAGACAGAGAGAAAGGTCTTCCTTTGCCGTTGGTTCACCCTCCAATGGCCGCCGCGGCCAGCGCGCTGCAGCCGGCGCACCGCGCTGATCCGATGGCAGGAGCCAGGAGCCAGGTGCTTTTCCTGGTCTCCCATGTGTGGGGAGCAATCCGGACTAGACTAAGTTACTCAAATTAGGACTTATTCTATGCATCTGCTCTCCCACAAAATGGCGCTGGGAGAGAAGTAAACAGCTTCCGCACAGCTGCCTCCAGTTCAACTAATAAACTGTAGGACTTGCTCCTGATTGGAGGAGAGCAGCGTACTCGGCGTGTGGGCAGCCGAGTTGGGATTGGCGGAGGAGGACTATAAAGGAGGAGAGAGACGGCATGCATCGGGAACATCTATGGGGAACATCTAAGGGAACCCGTGCAGCCCCCGAGAGAACCGGCCGGCGGTGTGCCGCTCCCCTGCGGAAGTGGGGAATGCGGCCAGGGGGAACTGCCCTTCCACGGAGGTGGAAGGGATAGTAGCCAACCCGGGAAGAACCAGCAGCAAACCCGGGGAGGGCCGAGCAGACGAAAGAACAGCGCAGGGTCCTGTGTCGTTCCTCCACGAAGAGGGGGAGCGACATAATGGTGCCGTGACTCGGATAGGAAACCTGACTCGGATAGGAAACCTGACTCGGATTAGGAAACCTAGCTCGGATAGGAAACCCAGGACGGATAGGAAACTTAGGAGGGAAGAAACGGGAAGAAGCAGGAAAATACCGGAGAGAGAGACTAGCAAACAGCCTAGGGAAAAGCCGGACGAAAAGGGTGCCGGAAGAAGCTATTGAAAGCCTAGGCATAGACTCAGATACGGACTACGGGGGGAAGCTGGGAGAAATCTCTAAGGTCGAAAGTGAAAGTGAAAGCTAGAACAAACAGACTCGGACGCGGACTGTGGGGAGAGGCCAGGAGAAATGAGGGAGGAATATTGTTGGAAGAAAACTTAGGGAAACATACCGGGTAGAGAAAAATGTTAGGGAAATTGAAGCCGTGGGGGGCAGGCCAAGGCGGACACGAAAGCCACTTTGGGATTCTCAAGTTAGCCCGGGAATAGGGGGCGAAAAGTTGAAACCAGAAGCTGAGACGTAAGCCAGATTGGGATCCGTCTGATTAGCCCGGGGAGCAAAGGACGGGAAGCCAAACCGTGGGGCGGAGACGTACGCTGGGTTGAATTCGCCAGGCTAGCCCGGGGAACTTAGATTGAATGCTAGTGGCGGACACGTAAGCTACGCTGTGTTACTCGCGGAAGCCGCCGCGTGCAGAGAGAGCACGGGGCGTGAATAGATAGGGAACGGGGCTGGCGTAGGCCGTGGTTCAGACGCGAAAGGGTTAAGCGTGGAGACCGCGGAGCGCGCGAAGCCGAGCCGCGCAAAGCCGGGAAGCTGCGCAGATGAGAGAGGCGCGCGGGCTGAAGCGGCGCAGAGCCAGGAACCCGCCGGTGGGGCGAGGTGCCGGAAAGCCGCAGGGATAAGAGAAACAGAAGTTTAGAAGTAAAGTGAGAAAAATAGGAATGCTGGAAGATAGAAGTAAAATGGGAGAAATAGGAATGCCCGGAGATAGAGAAATAGAGAAATAAAAAGGCCTCCCTACAACACTGCAATGTGAGAGCTTGGATTCGGTCTGCCTAATCAAGTGAGGCGATGAGCACCTGCGGGCAGCTAGCAGCTTATGCGCCGCAGGTCACCGAAGACAGGCACGAATTAACATCAGTAAGGCTTCCCCACAATACAACAATATTAAGCTTGGATTCGGTCTGCCTGATTTAAGGCGGTAAGCGCCAGTAAGCAGCTCGACCAGAGTATGAGCTGCAGGTCACCGAAGATAGGCACGAACCAACACTAATAAGTCTCCCCCACAATAAGGCAATGAGAAGGCTTGGATTCGGTTTGCCTGATAGGTCTTGTAAGTCCCCTGCAGGCAGAGCAGAGCATGCGCTGCAGGGCACCGAACACAGGCACGTATCAGCGCCTAAAAACCTCCTCACAATGGCGAAGAGAGGACCCGGATTCGGTTTTCCTGATTGATAGGACTTGTAAGAGCCTGTGGCAACTCTAGCAAGTAGAGCAGAGTGTGTGCCGCGGGACACCGAAGACAGGCGCGTATCAACGCTAAAAAATAAAAAGAAAGGGGGATCTGTGGGGAGCAATCCGGACTAGACTAAGTTACTCAAATTAGGACTTATTCTATGCATCTGCTCTCCCACAAAATGGCGCTGGGAGAGAAGTAAACAGCTTCCGCACAGCTGCCTCCAGTTCAACTAATAAACTGTAGGACTTGCTCCTGATTGGAGGAGAGCAGCGTACTCGGCGTGTGGGCAGCCGAGTTGGGATTGGCGGAGGAGGACTATAAAGGAGGAGAGAGACGGCATGCATCGGGAACATCTATGGGGAACATCTAAGGGAACCCGTGCAGCCCCCGAGAGAACCGGCCGGCGGTGTGCCGCTCCCCTGCGGAAGTGGGGAATGCGGCCAGGGGGAACTGCCCTTCCACGGAGGTGGAAGGGATAGTAGCCAACCCGGGAAGAACCAGCAGCAAACCCGGGGAGGGCCGAGCAGACGAAAGAACAGCGCAGGGTCCTGTGTCGTTCCTCCACGAAGAGGGGGAGCGACACCATGGGGTGCAGGGCCCAAGCACCTGGGCCATCCTCCACTGCACTCCCTGGCCACAGCAGAGGGCTGGCCTGGAAGAGGGGCAACCGGGACAGAATCCGGCGCCCTGACCGGGACTAGAACCCGGTGTGCCGGCACCACTAGGCGGAGGATTAGCCTAGTGAGCCGCGGCGCCGGCCTCAGAATGTGTTCTTACGATGCTCCTACAGGGTAGGCAGAAAACAGATGCCTGGCTTGTGCAGCTGTGCAACAGTGAAAGAACTGAATCTGAATCTCTTGACTATTCACCTGGGTTACCCTTGGTTAGAATATATTTTCTGTATGGTATATTTGGAAATTTCTTAAAGCATTCTTTCTTCTTCTGTGTTTAAATGACTTTTAGTAAAAAGTTTCTCTTCCTTACAGTGATGCCTCTTGACTCTTCATGGCATGAAGAGTGCCAGGCAGTTCAAGTATGTTTGTTTGCTGAGTTTGTCCATTGGTTCAGATGTTCAGTTACTAAATTTAAAATGTATAAGGTATACACCATGTGTCAGGCACTTTGTTACAATTCTATCTGGTATTTCTTTAATCATTTCAGGACTGATGAGGAATATGTTAATATCTCCAGATGGTGTTAAATTGGGATCATGTATGTTCAAAAAAGAAGCATCTGACTCATTCTATTGTTCCACCCTGAGGCAACCTTGGGGGGCCAAGATCTTGAGCTTGTAAGGACCCTGATGCTTGCCCAGCTGTTGTGGGTGTTTTGTGACACTTCATAACCACTGCTTGCCGCCTGCCTGTCCTAATCTCCAAGCACAGAGAAACTCTTCTGTGAGCTTTCTAGTCCCTGATGAAGCACTCTGAATTGCCACCACTTTCTCCCTCCTGTCACCCCTTGTACCAGGTCCGTCCTCACTTAGGTTAGCGTTGTACGTTTATCTTCTCCAGTGCTGTAGACTTAGCTCATTATCAATAAGCCATTCCCCCTCTAAAGCTATTATTTAAGAACTGAATTTAAAACCTCTATCAAGATTGCTCTTTTGAATGCTAAGTAAAATAGGCGAACGCTGGTAAACTGCCTCCTGTTCTGCAAGCGAGGAGCCCACTACTCCTCCTGTGAAGAGGCGCTGCTGCTGCTGGCTTTGCTGTCAGCAAGGCTTCCACATTGCTTCTGATTATGGGGCTTGTGTTGTGCTCTGGCACAAGGGACACCCCACCTGACATTAATGACAGAAGTAGGCATGGAGTACTGATGTGTACTTTGAAATGGCAAAGCTTGAAAGGTTATATTTTGCTTTCCCTTTGTCTTGCCCTGTTTCTTTTTAAAGGAGTGGTGAATGTGTTGCTAACAACTCCACTTTGGGTAGTAAACACCAGACTGAAGCTACAAGGGGCAAAATTTAGGAATGAAGACATTGTACCAACCAACTACAAAGGCATCCTTGGTAAGCATCTCTTGGACGTGTTCCTTTTTAAGAGTTTTTGCTTCTCTTGTACTTGGGATCTGTTGCTGTGGTAAAGCTACATAGCATACAGCCTCGCATCTCGGCTCTGAGGGATTATTGTGTCTGGATTCACAGGGGTTTAGCTCATGTGTCTGGATTCACAGGGGTTTACTCATCCAGGCTGACCTGAGCCTGATAGCCTGGGCACCGTGTGTAGACACCTTCTCCCCAGGACCAGCCTGGGCACCATGTGTAGACACCTTCTCCCCAGGAACAGCCTGGGCACCGTGTGTAGACACCTTCTCCCAGGACCAGCCTGGGCACCGTGTGTAGACACCTTCTCCCCAGGACCAGCCTGGGCACCGTGTGTAGACAACTTCTCCCAGGACCAGCCTGGGCACCGTGTGTAGATACCTTCTTCCCAGGACCTCCTGGCATGTTCTTGTCGTGCTGATGGCAGAAGCACAGGGGGACACACTCAACTGTACAAGCCGAACTCAAGCCCCCGTTTGCCTCTTTGCTGAGACTCTGCCAGCCAAAGCACATCACGTGACCAAGCCCAGGACAAGGGATAGAGAAGGACACCTCTCTTAAGAAGTGTAGGTGGTGCAGTAGGCGCAGAGTGAATACTGCTGACGAATTGTCTACTGATTTTTTTCCCTAGTGTTGTTTTGGGATAAAGATACAAGATTGCCATGTGGTATCTTCCAGCCTCTGGTTTGTAATAGCTCCAGGTTGCCAGGTTCTCGTTTCCCATGCATCTGTTTTTGTAACAAGAACACAAGTCAAATCCTGTGTATGGGCCTCCAGGAAACACTCTTATCTTCACTAGGACCTTGTTGAAAAACAAAGTGTTTCAGTTCTGTAGCTCAGAGTTCCTGGTGGTGCATGTACTTAGGAAAATGTGCTGTTCTAGGTAGGTAGGAAGATTGCCAGTAATTGCGTTTGGTTCCTCAGGGACTCTGTGACTGCTGGTGTCTGTCTGTTACCAAGACAGACCCACATCGCCCTCTCCCGTTTGGGAGTCATCGTCCTGCTTCTCACAAGCCCCCGGTTTCTTGCTTAGATGCTTTTCATCAGATCATTCGAGATGAAGGACTCTCAGCTCTGTGGAATGGCACGTTCCCCTCCCTGCTGCTGGTCTTCAATCCTGCCATCCAGTTCATGTTCTATGAAGGTTTGAAACGGCAGCTGTTAAAGAAACGGATGAAGGTAACTCCTGGTTTTGGAAGCAGCCAGGTGGTCCGCGGAGGCGGCACTGTCTCACTGCTCCGATTGACGTGCGTCCTTCTTTCTTTGCTCTCCAGCTTTCGTCTTTGGATGTGTTTGTCATCGGTGCGGTAGCCAAAGCCATTGCCACCACAGTCACCTATCCCTTGCAGACGATACAGTCAATTCTGAGGGTGAGTGCTGGGGTCTCCCTGCGTGAATGCATAGCCTTCTGTCTAGGTTGACGTGACCCTTCCATTTTCCACGTTTGATGTTCTGCTCACCAGGCTGGCTTTCAGTTGGCTCCCTGTTTGGCTTGGTGTGATGTTTGTGTTGGCAGTTTCTTAAGTAAACAGAAAAGTCCTATGTGGAAAGTGTTTTATTTTTTTTAAGATTAGTTTCTTTGAAAATCAGAGTTAGAGGGAGAGGGAGAGGGGGAGAGAGAGAGAGACCTTCCATCCATTGGTTCACTCCCCAGATGGCTGCAGTGGCCAGATGGCTGCAGTGGCCAGGGTTGGGCCATGCCAAAGCCAGGAGCTTCATCCAGGTATCCTGTGTGGGTGGCAGGGAGCCCAAGCCCTTGGGTCATCTTCTGCTGCTTTTCCCAGGCTGTTAGCAGGGAGCTAGTTCAGAAGTAGATCAGGGTCTGTTGCTGTAGCTTAGTGGGTAAAGCACAGCTTGTGGTGCCGGCATCCCATATGGGTACCTGCACCCACGAAGGAGACCCAGAAGAAGCTCCTAGGCCCAACTCCAGCCATTGCAGCCATTTGGGGAGTGAACCAGTCGATGGAAGTTTTCTCTCTGCCTCTGTCTAACTCTGACTTTCAAATAAACAAATAAATCTTCAAAAAAAAAAAAAAAAAGTAGAGCAGCCAGGACAGGGACCAGCTTCCACAGGGGACGCTGGCATCACAGGAGGCGGTTTTACCTGCTGCATCCCAGCGCCGGCCCCAGAAGTGTTCTTTAACCACCTCTGGAAAGCATGTGTTTGCGTCCTTCTGCAGGTTGATTCACGTGGTGCCCTAGGGCAGGTTCTTCCCTGCGCAGTCCTGGGCTCGTGTTGGTGCACTCAGGAGGAGTGCAATTGACCTTTCCCACAGGACTTTGAGATTTCTGTTTTTTCACTCATTCAATCGGTGTATTTTACACTAAGCACCCACTCTGCGCGAGGAGCTGGGAACGCAATGGTAAATAACACAGTCACGGTCCCTGCCCTCCTAGAGCTAGTGGAAAGGGGAGTGAACAGATAAACCAGCAGAATAAGTAAACAGGTCGTTAGAAATGAGAAGAGCGCTGTAGAGGAAGCAAACTGCATTCTGTGCCGGGTGTGGGGATCATCTTGTAGCGGGAGGAGCACATTCCAGTCAAGATGCAAAGAAGATAAGGACTGAGCCCTGCCAGAGAGGAGGGAGCGTGGTGCATCCTGGGAACCGAAAGGAGCCTGTGCGGCTGTAGGGTGGCTCAGGGTGAGGCTGGACAAGTCCCAGGGAGGTTGTAGGTGGGGGCTGTAGGGTGGCTCAGGGTGAGGCTGGACAAGTCCCAGGGAGGTTGTAGGTGGGGACTGTAGGGTGGCTCAGGGTGAGGCTGGACAAGTCGCAGGGAGGTTGTAGGTGGGGGCTGTAGGGTGGCTCAGGGTGAGGTTGGACAAGTCGCAGGGAGGTTGTAGGTGGGGGCTGTAGGGTGGCTCAGGGTGAGGCTGGACAAGTCCCGGGGAGGTTGTAGGTGGGGGCTGTAGGGTGGCTCAGGGTGAGGTTGGACAAGTCGCAGGGAGGTTGTAGGTGGGGGCTGTAGGGTGGCTCAGGGTGAGGCTGGACAAGTCCCGGGGAGGTTGTAGGTGGGGACTGTAGGGTGGCTCAGGGTGACGTTGGACAAGTCCCAGGGAGGTTGTAGGTGGGGACTGTAGGGTGGCTCAGGGTGAGGCTGGACAAGTCCCAGGGAGGTTGTAGGTGGGGGCTGTAGGGTGGCTCAGGGTGAGGCTGGACAAGTCTCAGGGAGGTTGTAGGTGGGGGCTGTAGGGAGCGCATAGGTACTCTCAGCACACTCGGAACCTTTGGAAGTGCTGTGAGCTGGGGAATAATGTAATCTAATTTACACTTTTTTTTTTTTAAGATTTATTTATTAATTTGAAAGAGTTACACAGAGAGAAAAGAAGAGGCAGAGAGAGAGAGAGAGAGAGGTCTTCTGTCCACTGGTTCACTCCCCAGTTGGCCGCAACGGCCGGAGCTGCATTGATCCAAAGCCAGGAGCCTCCTCCGAGTCTCCCACGTGGGTACAGGGCCCCAAGGACCTAGGCCATCTTCTACTGCTTTCTCAGGCCGCAGCAGAGAGCTGGATCAGAAGTGGAGCAGCCGATAATCCTCCGCCTGCAGAGCCGGCACACCGGGTTCTAGTCCCGGTCGGGGCGCCGGATTCTGTCCCAGTTGCTCCTCTTCCAGTCCAGCTCGCTGCTGTGGCCTGGGAGGGCAGTGGAGGATGGCCCAAGTGCTTGGGCCCTGCACCCGCATGGGAGACCAGGAGGAAGCACCTGGCTTCTGGCTTCCAATCGGCGCAGCACGCTGGCCATAGTGGCCATTTGGGGGGTGAACCAACGGAAGGAAGACCTTTCTCTCTGACTCTCTCTCACTGTCTAACTCTGCCTGTCAAAAAACAAAACACCAGTGCTGCAGCTCACTAGGCTAATCCTTTGCCTGTGGCGCTGGCACCCCGGGTTCTAGTCCCGGTTGGGGCACCGGATTCTGTCCGGTTGTTCCTCTTCCTGTCCAGTTCTCTGCTGTGGCCCAGGAGTGCAGTGAAGGATGGCCCAGATCCTTGGGCCCTGCACCCCATGGGAGACCAGGATAAGCACCTGGCTCCTGCCTTCAGATCAGCGTGGTGCACCGGCTACAGCGCGCTGGCCGTAGCGGCCACTTGGGGGTGAACCAACGGCAAAACGAAGACCTTTCTCTCTGTCTCTGTCTCTCTCTCACTGTCCACTCTGCCTGTCAAAAAAAAAAAAAAAAATCTGAATTAATATGCTGGTCATTTTTTTGTTTTTGATACAGAATTGTCCCTATAATTTTCTGTAAAATGAAAATCCTCATGCTTGCTTCATTGAAAAAAATGTATTTTCATTTATTTCTTTGAGAGGTAGAGTTATAGACAGACAGAGGGAGAGACAGAGAGGTCTTCCACCCAGCGGTTCACTCCCCAAATGGCCACAATAGCCAGAGCTGAGCCAATCCGAAGCCAGGAGCCAGGAGCATCCTCCAGGTCTCCCACATGGGTGCAGGGGCCCAGGTAGTTGGGTCATCTTCCACTGCTTTCCCAGGCCATAAGCAAGAGCTGGATAAGAAGGGGAGCAGCCAGGACACAAACTGGCACCCATATGGGATGCCGTGCCACAGGCAGAGGCTTAGTGTATTAAACCACAGTGCCGGCCCCGAAATATTTCATTATTTAAATGAAAAATAGAGAGTTGATGGTTCTGTGGTACTAATTGGATGTTTTTATTATTGTACACTGTAAGACATTATTGGTACAACATAATTTCCTCTCCAGATAAAAATTAAGATAAAGAAAGCAGCAATAATGATTTATCTTTTTGTTCTCCTTCCCTAGTTTGGACGTCACAGACTAAACCCAGAAAACAGAACGCTGGGGAGTCTTCGGAATGTGCTCTACCTTCTTCACCAGCGAGTGAGGTGAGCTGTGCTGACGGCTCGCGTCCTGGCCTCCTGTGGCTGGTCCCTGCCAGGGAGGGGAAGGTGTGCTCCCCTTGCGCTGCGGCCTCTCCGGCCTCTTCCTTGTGCGCTGTGCTCAGACGTCTCAGCTTAGGAGCGTAGCACGACGTGGCAGCACTTGGGGAAATTGTAGGGGAAAAGTTTGTGTCCTTATTCTGTGTTAGTTACAAATTTGGGTACTTCAGAAAGGGACTCTTCCTGATAATCTGATAGACTGTTCTGTCGACGGCCTTTCCTGTGGCCTGTCTTAGGAGTGTAACATCTGCATAGAGAGGTGGTAGTGGAAGGAAGTGGGCAGTGGAAGGAGAAATGACAGTCAGTTAGCATGATGCTGCGGGATAAGAAAAGCAGCAAGAAGTATCATGGTGGTGCTGATGGGAAAAGTCACTATCGTGACGGTGGTGGTGGTGAGAGAGTCGCTGCTTGAGTGGCAGACCCTGAACTGGATGCTGTACCTGGGCCATGTCCCTAATCCTGACACTGGTTCTGTGCAGTAGGAGGAGCCCTTGTTAGTCCCCTCTTTTGTTTCCAGAAACTGACACCTGGCAAAGTCAACTAAGCCAGGGACTTTGTTTGAAGCAGAGGCTGCCAAATATAACTTTATTGTTGTTCCTGATACAGGATACTTTGAAAATAAATTTATTATAAAAACACGTTTCTGTTAGTCAGCTTTCCATTACTTTATTATTTTTTTTATTTTTATTTTTATTTTTATTTTTATTTTTATTTTTTTTGACAGGCAGAGTGGACAGTGAGAGAGAGAGACAGAGAGAAAGGTCTTCCTTTTGCCGTTGGTTCACCCTCCAATGGCCGCCGCGGCCGGCGCGCTGCGGCCGGCGCACCGCGCTGATCCGATGGCAGGAGCCAGGAGCCAGGTGCTTTTCCTGGTCTCCCATGGGGTGCAGGGCCCAAGCACCTGGGCCATCCTCCACTGCACTCCCTGGCCACAGCAGAGGGCTGGCCTGGAAGAGGGGCAACCGGGACAGAATCCGACTCCCCAACCGGGACTAGAACCCGGTGTGCCAGCGCCGCTAGGCGGAGGATTAGCCTAGTGAGCCGCGGCGCCGGCTCCATTACTTTAAAACACCTAAGAGGAGCTAGCTTACAAAGGAAAAAGCTTATTTCAGCTGCCAGGTTTGGAAGTTCCCAGTCCATGACTGGGCATCCCCATTGGTTTAGGAGTCTCATGGGTGGCTGAAAGTGTGCAGAGGGAGTATCACAGAGCGAGTCGGGCAGCAGAGAGAGAGAGGGAGAGAGAGAGAGGGAGCAGCACTCTTCCTCTGCCTGCTGTGTGGTCATGATTCATCACAGGCCCACTCTCGCCACCCTAAAGTCCAGTTGTTTCTTGAAGTTCACCTTTAGATTCCGTAATCGGACCAAGCCTCCACCCTAATCCATCAAACGTTAACATAAAGACTTTGGGGTTAAATGTCTGCGTGAGTTTGGGGAGCCAAATCCTATTCAGACTCTAGCAGCTTGAGGTGAAAAATACCAAAGACAAAGAGTCAGTATAAAATAAAAAACAAACACCATATCAGCTGCTGGCGAGGAGGTGGCGCGACAGACCCTTCCTGTGCTGCTGCTGGGAATATAGAACAGTACAGCTGCTTTGTAAAACGTTTTGGCGTTTTCTTTAAAAACTTAGACGCCTCAGGGGACCAGCTGTCTGATGGAGAGTGAGGCAGGTTTGCCTGGGCGTTGCTCCCAGTCACACTCTGCAGTGCTGGTCTTTTGGGAACAGAAAGGTTCCACAGGAGGCCGGCAAAAATGACTCAGATCTGCCTCCTCAACCTAAACTTCATGCACCAAGGAGGAGGAAGCCGGCAGGCAGAAACACGTGGCAAGGCAGGTTCCGATCGGAGGGGCTTGGAATCAGGCCAGGGTGGTTGTGAGCTTTTTCAGCCCAGGTGTCTGTTTGAAGGCACCTTTCGCTTCTGAACAGGCTCCAGTGCACTTAAGTTCCAGTGCTGTCCTGCTGTCTTTGGCTCCACCAGTGTGTGCCCGCGCCGCGTGATGTGCAGGGCTTTGCCCAGGGTTATCTCTGCACGTGGGCAGCTGTGTCGTAAGGCAAAAACCTGACAAAAAACAGACCTGTTAAAGTGTAAGGAAGGCCGGCGCCGCGGCTCACTAGGCTAATCCCCCGCCTTGCGGCCCCGGCACACCGGGTTCTAGTCCCGGTCGGGACACCAGATTCTGTCCCGGTTGCCCCTCTTCCAGGCCAGCTCTCTGCTGTGGCCAGGGAGTGCAATGGAGGATGGCCCAAGTGCTTGGGCCCTGCACCCCATGGGAGACCAGGATAAGTACCTGGCTCCTGCCTTTGGATCAGTGCGGTGCGCTGGCTGCGGCGGCCATTGAAGGGTGAATCAACGGCAAAAGGAAGTCCTTTCTCTCTCTCTCTGTCTCTCTCACTGTCCACTCTGCCTGTCCAAAAAAAAAAAAAAAGTATAAGGAAAAGAATAGGGGGTTTTTCAGGCCGGCGCTGTGGCTCACTAGGCTAATCCTCCGCCTTGCAGCACCGATACACCGGGTTCTAGTCCTGGTCGGGGTGCCGGATTCTGTCCCGGTTGCCCCTCTTCCAGGCCAGCTCTCTGCTGTGGCCCAGGAGTGCAGTGGAGGATGGCCCAAGTACTTGGGCCCTGCACCCCATGGGAGACCAGGATAAGTACCTGGCTCCTGCCATCGAATCAGTGCGGCGCGGCAGCCGCGGCAGCCACTGGAGGGTGAACCAACAGCAAAGGAAGACCTTTCTCTCTGTCTCTCTCACTGTCCACTCTGCCTGTCAAAAAAAAAAAAGAAAAAAGAAAAAAGAATAGGGGCTTTTTCTGAGAGTCAAAAACTGGAAACAACCCAAATATCCGTCACTAGGTGAATAGATACATAAGCTGTGATATATTCATACGGTGGAAAGTGACTCTAAAAAAGACGGAATCACTAATACACACAACAACGTGGAGGAATCTCAGAATTATGCTGAGGAAAGAAGTCAGACAAAAAGGAATTGGTACTAGAGGATTCCTTTTCTATGAAAGCCTGGAAATGCACACTGACCTTTAGTGTCAGAGAGCACATCAGCCGGGACCTGGGGCCAGGGTCGATGGAGAGGGTGGCCCTCAGGGGCGCGAGGACTGGGTTCTGTCTTGAACATGCCGATGCGTCGTGATGATGCATGTCAGTCAGCTCTCATCAAACTGAAGTCAGCTGAACTTTAGGCTCCAAGGACCTGGGTACATCACTCCTGTTTTTATCTTCTGTGTTTCTCCTTATTCCTTTTCCAAAAGGTAGTCACTGTTAAGGAGTCTATTTCCAGAACATTGCATAAAACATATGCGTAACATGTATGCAGCTTAGGTTTTTATTAACAAAAATCACAAACGTCCCTACATCTCAGTATGTGTGGACTCCTTTTGTCCAGTGACTGCCTGGGTCCTGTTACATAACGTGCCAGCAGTTATTTACCAGAGCACTTACTGATGGGTATTCTGGTGGTTTCTGGGTTTCTGCCTTTGCAAACGTTGCTGCGTGCATAGCCCGTAAATTTAGCTTTGTGCACCTGAGTGGGTATAATTGTAGAGAAAGTTCCTGTGTGTGAAATTACCTGGCCAAAGAGTTTGAACATACAACAATTTGACATTTTGTAACTTTAAAAATTAGTGCCAAATTGTGACCCAAGAAAAGTGATGCCAGTTTCTATTTCTACCAGCACTGGGAAAGGTTAGAAAAGATGTAGTAATCAGAAAGTTAAGAGAGTCATGTCAGGTGGAACTCTGAGCGTATACAGTTTTCAAAGGTGAGTTTTCTCCTCTTTCATCTGATTCTGACTCAATGGATATTGAGTGGATATTAGTGGTTATATTCGCACCTTACAGATCACTGAACAGATTTAGAGAAACAAAGTGACTTGCCCAACGCAGAGGCAGAACCAGATGTTCAAACGCGGGGACACTGTCATGAATGAGGAGCCTTCATTGCCTTAGTCGGAGTGCTCTGCGCTCATGGACGTGTCTGTACTGCCCAGCAGAGTCGCCGCTACCCGCATGTGGCTGTAGAGCTTGTGAAATACGCTGGCGTAGAGGGTAAAGCCACCGCCTGCACGCCAGCCGTCCTTATCAGTGCCAATTCAAGTCTCAGCTGCTCTGCTTCAGATGCAGCTCCCTGCTAGTGGTCTGAGAAAAGCAGCAGCAGGTGACCCAAGTGTTTGGGCTCCCTGCCACCCTCATGGGAAACCCGAGTGAAGGTCTTGATTCCTGGCTTTGGCTACTGCCATCTGGGGAGTGAAGCAGTGGCTGGAAGAGCTCTCTCTCTCTCTTTCTCTGCACCTCTCTCTCTAACTCTGACTTTTAAACAAATAAATCTTCAAAAAGGAAAGAAAGAAATATGCCCAGTATAACCAAGACACTAGATTTCATGTTTTTAAAAATTTTGATTGCCACACGTGATTAGTGGCTACCGTAATGCATAGCACAGTATTACCGTGTCAGGCTCTCCCAGTGTGTGTGGCTAAGAATCAGCTGATGTACTTCTTAAAGTGCACATCCGTGCTTCCTGTCTCGGGTGGGGCCTGGTGATCTGCATTTCTAAGCAAACCCTGGTGCTTCTAATGCGGGTGTACCTTGCCTCGAGGAGCACTGAAGGGGAATTCCTTGGGTTAACCTAATTCAGATTAGTCAGTGAACTAGAAGTTCAGGGTCAAGTCTTTTTATTCCTGTGTATCACAGTCTTCCCCCAGAGAGGGCTTTCATACATCAGATACATTAGGTGTATGAATTTATGTTGTTTTTGAATGGAGCACCGATTAATGTCCCAATCTGCACACTGTTTATAGTCCCAGAGTTGCTAATGGGCTGGTACCTGGGAGTTCACTTTCAGCCGGTAGCTGTGGAGAGGTCGTTTCCTCTAACTCCGGGCTTTCCCAAAGCCCTCGCCTCCCAGTTGAGAGCAGTGGGGTCTCAGGGCTGGCGCCATCATCCTTGTCACCTGGAAGCTTGTTAGAAATGCAGTCTTGAGTCTCATCCCAAACTTAATGATGCAGAATCTCTGCGATTAGACTTGACTTGGAAATCTTCTTCGAGTGGTTGGGGTACCATGCTGAATTTGAGAACCCTGGGGTAGAGGGTCAAATTTATAGAAATTCTGAGATCGGGAGGCTTTTGGTTTCTTTCCATGGTTTTTTTTTTTTTTTTTTTAAGATTTATTTATTTGTTCGAACGTCAGAGTTACAGAGAGAGAGATCATCCATCTGCTGGTTCACTCCCTAAATGGCCATCCTTGCTGGGGCTGGGCCAGGCTGAAGCCAGAGCCTGGAACTCCATCCAGGTCTCCCACGTGACGGCAGGGACCCAAGTACTTGGGCCATCTTCCTCCACTTTCCCAGACACAAGAGAGCTGGATCGGAAGTGGAGCAGCCGGAGGTTGGACTGGCACTCACACGAGATGCTGGCATTGTGGGCACCTTAATCCACTTCACCACGCCACCTTCTTTCTGAGACTAAAATGGCAGTTTTCCTACCACTGTTGAACTGGGAAAGTGTTAAAGTCAAGATCTGGAAGTTCTTAGATCTCAGATTCTGGCATTAATATGGTTTTAGGAGACTTTGGGATCTGTGTCCTACCGGTGGGATATTGTCAGCTTTCTGCTAATTAGTGGGGAATACGAACACAGTGCAGATGGCTCCTGAGTACTCAGCTTTTATCAGTCTCCACATGTCTTTAAAGGTAAGAAGTGCTTCGCCAACAGAAGTCTGTGTTGAAACGTAAAACCTGCATTGCTCCCTTTGATTCCGAGGATAAGCCTTGCAGAGTAGCCGATGGTGGCGCGTCTTGATGCAGGAGTTGACTTCTACAGAGAAAACCGTTTGCTTTTTCAAACCTCTTTCCTTCCAGGCGTTTTGGGATAATGGGACTCTACAAAGGCCTTGAAGCCAAGCTGCTGCAGACGGTCCTCACGGCTGCCCTCATGTTCCTCGTTTATGAGAAACTGACAGCTGCCACCTTCACCGTCATGGGGCTGAAGAGTGCGCGCAGGCCCTGAGAGGCCCCGGCAGGGGTTTCCTTCTGAGAAGAGAAGGGATTCTCCTTCTGTTCCGGCTCTTCCACCACAAGTCCTACCCTCGCTGGCCTGAAAGGCATCCAAGGGGGAAACGGAGTCCAGCCAGCTGGACTTATTGCCAACTCAGAATATTCGACGTCTGGTTGGATTTTGAGGTGGAGGGTAGACTAATATGGGAAGAAAACATGATTGAAAATCTAAAAATGAGTCTGTGGGGTTTTTGTTGGTTTTCTTAAGGGAGCCGGACTCTGACTCTGGTGTGTGATCTTTCCCATCTGAAGTTATTCTGAAATTTACCAGCTCTTTGCTTTCCCTGAACTCTCTCCCAGGCTCTGGGACAAATGAAACAACATATAATTCTCATCCGATGCTTTTGTATGTCTTTGTCTTGTCATTTTCTCCCCCAAAAATAATACGTGCCGTGGGCATGAGTTTACTTTTATTAGGCTTTTTTTCTCCTGCTTAAGGAGACGTATCTTCTTTAGTACATGAACTATTTATTTTTGGGGAAGGCAATGAAGATTGTTAATCTCAAATGATTCTCTTTTAAACTATTTTTGAATGTCACCTATTCATTAGTGTTTGACATAGTTTTTTTCAGTATTTATTTGGAATCCATTCTTCCATTGCAAAAGACTTGAGGTTTGTGTGTATCCATGTAAGCCCCAATAAATTGTCAGCACAAAAGACTGTCGCGAAAGTTGCTCTTTATTAAGGTGTTGTTACATTGGGTTTGCAAGCAATTGTTAAAAATAACAAAATGGGGCTGGCGCTGCTGCTCACTTGGCTAATCCTCCGCCTGCAGCGCCAGCACACCGAGTTGTAGTCCCGGTTGGGGCGCTGGATTCTGTCCCGGTTGCTCCTCTCTCGGTCCAGCTCTCTGCTGTGGCCCAGGAGTGCAGTGGAGGATGGCCCAAGTGCTTGGGCCCTGCACCCCATGGGAGACCAGGAGAAGTACCTGGCTCCTGACTTTGAATTGGCACAGCGCGCCAGCCATAGCAACCATTTGGGGGGTGAACCAACGGAAAAGGAAGACCTTTCTCTCTGTGTGTGTCTCTCTCTCACTGTCTAAATCTGCCTGTCAAAAAATAAATAACAAAATGGGGGAGCAAAAACCCTGTTTAGGCTCCGGAATATTACAACCTTTTATAAGCTTTTGATGGAGGCTTTTTATTTTGAGAGCACACATCTGGTTTAGGTTATTTCTCTGGATGTTCCTCGTGTCCTGCTACTCCAACTGAGGTCCATTTAACAGCAGTGCCTTCACCAGCCAAGGGCCTGAGCGCACAGCCTGGCCTGCTGAATCATCTTCATTTTAGCAAGAGTTAAAAGGCAGTTAGAAAGATGGAGAGAGGGGTCTTCCATCCCACTGGTTCACTCCCCGAGTGGCCACAATGACCAGGGCTGGGCCAGGCCGGAGCCAGGAGCTTCTTCCGGGTCTCCCACATAGTGTAGGGGCCCAAGCACTTGGGCCATCTTCTGCTGCTTTCCCAGGTGCTTTAGCAGGGAGCTGGATTGGAAGTGGAACAGCTGGGATTTGAACCAGCGTCCATGTGGGATGCTGGCCCTGCAGGCAGGGGTTTTAACCCACTATGCCACAGCGCTGGCCCCTGTTAAAATCCATGTATGGTTTTTCATAATACACATTTTCCATGAACTTATTGAAAACCACTCATGTTTCCACTCTTGCTTGTTTTACAGTAGTTTTGAGATGTGAAAGTCTTTACCCTGAGAACGTAGGCAGTGGAAGTTAGAAATTTGGGTCTTATTCCCCTCTTTGTCACCAGTAGCAACTTAGTCATCTCCCGTGTCTCAGCTCTTTGATAAATGCTGATAATAACACAGCCCACTTCAGAGGATGTTTGAGAGCTGGTGATGTCAGCTCAGTCCCTTTATGATCATGGGATGGGAAGATCTAAGTGAAACTTGTGGCAACATCTAGATTTATGAAGCAATTTCCCTTCTTAAAGCTTATTCATGTTCTCGTTTTATAATCCCAGTGTCTCTGTGAAATAGGTAGGGACAAGTAGCAATACCCCCATTTAATTAACAAGGAAATTGAGACAAAACTTTTAAATGACTTGCCTGGTGGGACCCAGGACCGGAGCTGAGTTTCCTGCAGTCTAGAGTAATGCTTAAGGGAATGGGGCTTCCGGGCCGGAGCTGTGGGACAGCAGGTTAAGCCACTGCCTGCAGCACTGGCATCTCATACGGCTGCCAGTTCAAGTCCCAGCTGCTCCCCTTCCTATCCAGCTCCCTGCTAAAGCAGCAGAAGATGGCCCAAGTGCTTGGGTCCCTGCCGCCCATGTAGGAAACTGGGATGAAGCTCCTGGTTCCTGGCTTCAGCCTGGCCCAGCCCTGGCCATCTCAGCTGTTTGGAGAGTGAATTTGTGGGTGGGCTATCTCTCTCTCTCTGCCTCTCCCTCTCTCTGTAACTCTGCCTTTCAAATAAGTAAATGAATCTTTAAAAAAAAAAATGATTTATTTGTTTATTTGAAAGTCAGAGTTGCACAGACAGAGGAGAGGCAAAGAGAAAGAGGTCTTCCATCCGCTGGTTCTCTCCCCAGATGGCCGCAATGGCCGGAGCTGCACCAATCAAAGCCAGGAGCCAGGTGCTTCCTCCTGGTCTCCCATGCGGGTGCAGGGCCCAAGGACTTGGGCCATCCTCTACTGCTTTCCCAGGCCACAGCAGAGAGCTGGATTGGAAGTGGAGCAGCCGGGACTCGAACCGGCGCCCATATGGGATGCAGGCACTGCAGACGGCAGCTTTATCCACTATACCACAGCACCAGCCCTAAAATAAATCTTTTTTTAAAAACTGAAAAGAGTGTGGGTTCTGGAATTAGAAATAAGTTCACACTGGCCCTACTCCTTACCAGATGTGGAAACAAAGCAACCCCTGAGCTTTTATGAAAGTCCGTTTCCTGAGCCGTAAAATGGAAAGCCTGGCCCTGTAAACGCCCTCTGCCGGCGGCCGCGCGGATTCAGTGAGCTCGTACACATGCGTCACTTAGCACGCTGCTCTCGCGTGAGAAGAGCTAGGTAAATATTACAAAGACAGTGTCATATCAGTGTTAGTAGGGAGACAGCTGTTTAAGTCGTGCAACTGTGTCCAGTAGCAGGCACTCTGGATTTTGAGCCTGGCCTGGGTTCCCGTTTTCATTCTGTCACTTCTTCACATTGTGGCTGCAGACGAACCGCTTACCCTTTGTGAGCCTGGGTCCTCTGTCGACTGGAAACGATCACCTCTCATGGGTTTTTGCAGGATTAAGTGAGGTAGGGGTGTGTGTATTGTGTGTAAACCTCTAGCACAGTATGCGGAAGACACAAAGGCACTTCAGAAGATTTGTGGAAAATGTGTATTATGGAAAAACCATGAATTTCATTTTTTTTCCTCAAAATAAACTTCTAATTCAATTTTCCATGAAGACCCCTTGTATCTGTGCTTAATAAATGCTGGCGAACCAAGAAAAACATTTGGTTTTACTTTGGGCAGTATTTTCTCTTTTGATTTGTTTAAATTGTGAGCATTTATGAGAGCCATTCAGTCAGTGAATGGCTTCTTGAATACTTTTTTTTATTCAGTTTGGATACTGAATAAAACATAAAATTGCTAGATTTAACTTCTGTTTTTGAGAAGTCAATCTATCAATTTTATGTTTTATTCAGTATTCAAACACCTACCTGTTAATCAGTACAATGTGTATTGGTTCAGTCACAAAAAGAGTCACTGACCCAGCTCGTGATTCACCCTGATCTTTTGAAAAGCTGAAGAATATCACCGGCGCCGCGGCTCACTAGGCTAATCCTCCACCTTGCGGCGCCGGCACACTGGGTTCTAGTCCCGGTTGCTCCTCTTCCAGGCCAGCTCTCTGCTGTGGCCAGGGAGTGCAGTGGAGGATGGCCCAAGTGCTTGGGCCCTGCACCCCATGGGAGACCAGGAGAAGCACCTGGCTCCTGCCATCAGATCAGCGCGGTGCACCAGCCTCAGCCCGCTAGCCGCGGCGGCCATTGGAGGGTGAACCAACGGCAAAAGGAAGACCTTTCTCTCTGTCTCTCTCTCTCACTGTCCACTCTGCCTGTCAAAAAAAAATTTAAAAAAAAAAAAAAAAAAAAGCTGAAGAGTAGTGACGTCATGGAGCCCAGGGCCACAAGTCCAGGAAGGCCCGTTCTCTGGGCAGGTGAATTACTTGCTGGCCATGTTGAATGTCATCGGAATCAGATAGGAAGGCTCATTTGTAGGATATGTGTGTATTCAGAAATGTGGCTGAGACCCCGGAGGGTTTTGCTACTAAACAAATGAAATGACCTTGGGCAGGGCCAGCACCTAGCACAGCATTTACCCTGCTGCTTGGGACACCTGCATCCACATCAGAGCGCCTGGGCTCAGGTCTGGGCTCCACTTCTGATTCCAGCTTCCGGCTAATGCATACCCTGGCAGGCAACAGTGATGGCTCAAGAACTCAGGACACCTGCTACCCGGCTGGGAGACCCAAGCTCATGTCCTTTCCTGGCCCAGTCCTGCCTGTTGGGGGCATTTAGGGAGTGAACCAGCAGATGGGAGATCTCTCTCTCTCTCGTCTATCTCTCTGCCTTTCATATAAATAAAAATAAATTTTAAAAAGAAGAAAAGCTCTGGGTTACTGTTTTTTTTTTTTTTAAAGATTTATTTATTTATTTGAAAGAGTTACACAGAGGAGAGGCAGAGACAGAGAGAGGGCTTCCATCCACTGGTTCACTCCCCAGTTGGCCACAACAGCCAGAACTGTGCTGATCAAAAGCCAGGAGCCTGGAGCTTCTTCCGAGTCTCCCATGTGGGTTCAGGGACCCAAGGACTTGGGCCATCTTCTACTGCTTTCCCAGGCCACAGCAGAGAACTGGATTGGAAGAGGAGCAGCTGAGACTAGAAACGGCGCCCATGTGGGATGTCGGTGCTTCAGGCCGGGACGTTAACCCGCTGCGCCACAGCGCCGGCGCCTGGGTTACTGCTCTCGGTGGGGCATACTGTTAACCCCTGAGAACCCCTGAAATCAGTGGGCCAGCAGAAAGTTTCCCAGGGGCTTTTTAGAAGAAAAGAAAAAAATTAGAGACTGAAAGAGAAATCAAAAGATGGTGTGAGGATCCAGGGAGAGTGGAACCAGAGCCTAGGCCAGCACTCAGCAAGGAGAGACCCCCGGAATGTGTGCCATCTTTATGAGATCGTGGCCTGTGGAGGCCAGCCTCTGGGGTCCAGTTGGTAACGATGTAGAAGGGGAAGGAGAAGTCAGTGTGGATCTAATCACAGAGCCTGAGAATGGGTAAGTAAAGTGCCTACTAAGTGCCAGTGACAGCTGATTCACATACATCTGGATGTCCTCATAATAAAACTCCAGATGTGCGGATTTCACTCCCATTAACAGGGGAGGTAGCTGAGGCTTGCAAAGTAACTTATCTGCAGTTCACACGCCTCGTCAGTCGGGGTTAGGATTCAAAACTAAGGCCGATCCCCAAACTTTCTCCGCTGCGACACTGCATCCTTCAAATGTCCTTGAAAGCAAGCCGTCTAAGCCAGGGTGTGGTTCCCTGTTAGGACCCTGGGAGTTGTGTGATCGAAACGGTGTGGTTAGTTCTTTAATGAACAGTCTGTACCCCAACGTGATGCCACAGGGCTCGCCGGGAAACATGCAGCCGCTCCAGGGCTGGTTCTTGC